GCTAGTTGACGTGAGTCAGTGCCTACGCGTGTCACCACAGTGTAGCGCTGACCCCAAGCCCGAAAACGGTGCCGTGACTGAGCTCCTCTATTTGCTTCTGGAGCAGCCAATCACAAGTGCCGTAGACTGCTATTGGCCAAGCAATTGATCAAGCAGGCCCGCCGCGTGTCGGGGCTTCAGATCACTCCCGATTTTCCGTATACAATAAACGACTCCTACGGAACTGGGCGTGATAATTGTAATGCTATGAGCACACTTACGGCTTAGACTCCCACAACACCTCATGCGTGCTTGACGTTTGTTGTGTGTAAATCGCTATTAGCCACAGCCGTGCATGATGTGGCTCCAATTTTGGTCCACCTCGCTAACTGCACGGCTCGTTGCCCCTAACAGTAAACCACAGAACCTACCACCGGTTAAGCAAGTATTTGAAAAGTGGGCCGTACACGTAGCTTGAATGTATTTCATACACAATGGCGATCTCATTGAGCCAGAAGGTAGATTCAAGTTTATGTTATGAAATTGGAGAAAGCAATATGTGTAAGAATGTTTGGTGGCTTCAAGGGTCTGTATTTACAACGTTCGACACTTTTTGCGGACGATTAACCGAGACAAAGGTGCCCATATGCGGCTAGTTTGCCTGTCGCAGAAATCCCTTTCCGACTAACAATTTCTTGTCATCTCACAGTCGTACAATGTACTCCGACTTCAGCCCATATTTGGCAGGCCTATCACATCAGCTTCCTTCCAATTAACTGCTTCATAGGATGACCTATGTGATTGTTAACGCTACCTTCTGGTCAGAAACATGTGTTTAAGTTGTAGCTTGACGGTTGCTGCTGGCGGTTGCAAGCATAACGACACTGCTAATCCTGTCGCCAACGCACTGCCTACAAAAATGGTGAGCTTTAGAAATAGTTATTAGGTAGGTGAGTGATTGCAGACGAATGGCCCCTATAAGACATGTCATGTATATGCATATGTGGCACGTACGGACGAGGATAGTAGGTCTACCAAACAATGTGCCCATTCCCGCACCAGTCAACAGGCGGGCTCGCACATTGACCGGTGCC